AATCCTTCATGCGTTTAGAATAACTACTTATTAAAAGAAGCATCATCGCTGGTGCAATCCAGTATGTGATAAATCAAACCGATTTTTTTAGTACTGAACTTTAATTGTTTTTCCCTAAAAAAGTGCAGTATATACAATAAGTATATGTTCTCTTTGTGTACAAACGATATCTGTCCAACAGTTGTGCATAATAATAAATTATGTGACAACATCGAAATGAATATCACTCTGAGCTTATTTCGATTTGGGTCGACCTGATTCTGAATTGGGTCAAATTTCGATTTGGGTCAGAACATTTATACGCATCTATAATTAGCATAATATAAAATCGACCATGCATACATAACACCAATTTTTTTTTCAAGACTTCTTGAACCTTTTATTAATAAACTATAAGCTATAAACATAATACTATTAAAATTCAAAGGCTGTTTTTGCAGCGATTTTCTCCAGTAACAGATAAAAACGAAACATATACAGAAATCATTGGTGGATGGCGAAACACGAAACAATGATAGAGATTGGATTCTTAAATCATGCTAAAATCATTTACTAAATAAAGCTTAACTAATCTTTCCTGATATCAATATAAACATTTTATAGCTTGTCCTGTATGTAATTTATCATGATTCATAATCCTTGAATTTTGTGTCAAAACTTTCTGTACTAAACATATTCTTACCACTTTGTATTAGTATTAGTATTAGAAAGAGTCTCACTGTACTTATTTAAATTGGCCTTGTTTTACTTGGACCAGCTATTTCATAAACTGATTGAATAATTTGAGTTTGTTGATCATTAACTTGTAAATTGGCTGGTTGGCCAGCAGTTTTTTGTTCAGCTGCTTTTTCATACCATTTAACTGCTTTTTCTTCATTCTTTTCTACATCCTTTTCTACTCCAGTTCCATCTCTATAATGTATAGCAAACTGGTATTGAGCTCTGGCATGTCCTTCTTCAGCTGCTTTTTTATACAATTTGACTGCTTTTTGTTCATTCTTTTCTACTCCAATACCATTGGCATAACACCAACCAAGCTTATATTGAGCCCTGGCATGTCCTTGTTCTGCTGCTTTTTTATACCATTCAACTGCCTTTTCTTCATCTTTTTCTACCCCAGTTCCATGTCTGTAACAATAACCAAGACCATATTGTGCATCAGCATATCCTTGTTCTGCTGCTTTTTTATACCATTCAACTGCTTTTTGTTCATCCTTTTCTACTCCAATTCCATTGGCATAACACCAAGCAAAATTATATTGAGCCCAGGCTAATCCCTGTTCAGCTGCTTTTTCATACCATTCAACTGCTTTTTCTTCATTTTTTTCTACCCCAGTTCCACATCTATAACAATAACCAAGACCACATTGTGCATCAGCATATCCTTGCTCTGCTGCTTTTTCATACCATTCAACTGCTTTTTGTTCATTCTTTTCTACTCCAATACCATTGGCATAACACCAACCAAGCTTATATTGAGCCCTGACATGTCCTTGTTCAGCTGCTTTTTCATACCATTCAACTGCTTTTTCTTCATTTTTTTCTACCCCAGTTCCATGTCTGTAACAATAACCAAGACCATATTGTGCATCCGCATATCCTTGTTCTGCTGCTTTTTTATACCATTCAACCGCTTTTTGTTCATTCTTTTCTACTCCAGTTCCATTGGCATAACACACGCCAAGATTATATTGAGCACTGGCATTTCCTCGTTCAGCCATCCCGTGGTATAACACATGTTGATTCTTGTTCTCCATTTTTGTATAAGCGGAAAGACACTAATACTAATACTATGTGTATCGAAAATCAGTATTAACTAAACTTTTACCAAGTATGCTCGATGTATATTATGACGGCTCAAGGAAAAATATGCCAAGCATCCCCGAGATGTAGTGTAACGCGAGGTTGATTGAGTGAAACCTCTTTATACCGGTCAGCTCCGTCCACGGGGATTTTTGACCGGTATGAAGAAAACCGGTATAAAAGTATAAAAGGCAAGTGATACAAGAGGTACATATAAGGATAATCCATTATGTAATAACAGGTTTTTTCAAGTTTCGTCACAAGCGATCTAAAACTTCTTGCCTAAGATTGTCCATTCTGCTTAACCCAATATTACGTCGTAAGCGCAGTAGGTTATCCACGTCTTTTCGTGTGATGAATGAATTATCTGGCTATTGTTCACTAAATTCGGTCATTGTTTTAAGAGCAGTCAATGCCGCCTCAAACGAAATTTTTTTCGGGGTCTCACTGGCCTCACTGTCATTATTACAATCATTTGCATCTTGCTCATTACTCTCGGATAGGACTATTTCAATAATGTCGGCGTCATTTACCATATCAGCGATTATGAGAACATTGAAGATTTCTTACTTTAAATTGACAAATTTCTTTTTCTGCAAAGCAGTGAGTGAAAGTCTGGACTTTTTTGTATTCGTTTTATTATTTGATTGGAAAGAACGTTTTTTACGTGTCATGGTAGATAAAAGAAAGTAAAGGTGAAAAGAAGTTTATTTATTGTGTTACATGATCGACCGGTATAAAAAGGAAAATTACATATATTTCATAATAGTATGACGAAATTTGTCCAACAAAATTTCGACCGGAGCCGTTATAGACAATTTAATTAATGATGACCGGTATATAAAGGGAAATTTCATATGTGAAAATCCGTTCCTGAAAATTTTGGCCGTTATAGAAAAAACCGGTATAACCGGGGGACGGTATAAAGAGGTTTCACTGTACAAAAAACTAAAATTATAGATAATCATTCAATCGTGTCAGACGTAAGAATGCACAGTTAATCTTTCAGATTACAAATTATTTTAATACAACATCACCAATATCCACAGCAATTTATGTCTGAATCAATCTTGTAATTTTAATGTCAAACAATTTATTGAAAACCGATTATTATTATTATTACAACGTTGCACGTCTGGCCAGTCGATTGACGGGAATACACATTAATTTAGACTGTTCTTCTTTTAATAACGCTAGCTTACTTTGAAAAGACTCATTTAGCTGTTCCTATGTGAGACGGTCTCTCACATCAAGTTTGTTGAACTATTTTAAATAACCAGTTTTATGACACTTTCGGAACGGAATAATTTTAATATTAATATTAATGTTAATGTTAAATTAAACCCCGCTTTTGTGTCACGTGGTAAAAGAAAAATCCATAATAAGCGGGTTTAGTTCATGCTGCTTCAAAAGGATCTGCATCGGAAAGCTTAAACTTGATTAACTGTATCAGATTAAAGAAAATCGTTATTAAAAATTATTCATTGAAAGTTCTCGAGGTTATTCGGCTCGGCCTAGCCCGAACGAAACACAATGCGCATAAATATTAAATTTATTTCGAGAGATCGTATCGGGTTTTACAGACGATCGCAAATCCTTCATGTACAGGTCAGCCCCGTTTTTGAATAAAGGCTGCCAAATTAATCAAGTGTATACGTTTGAGAAACGAGCAACAAAGAAAAAAAAGTCTTATAAAAAGTCCAAGGTTTCTTGATGCTGAGAAATAACTTACCTAACAGACATTTGTATAAGACGCCACTATGAACCAAAATTTTATTTTCCTATTCACGTTCTTGGCTATGCTTTACGTTGTTAACATTAATGCTCTTCCGCATCGACGTGATGAAACCTTTGAAAATGATGGGTTTGTTTCATGTGAGCCAAATATTCCCCCAGAACTCAGCGTATCTTTTACGCCTAATCCCCTAGTTTCGAATGCTAATGCTACCTTCGAAGTCGCTGGAAGTCTACTTATTGATGCACCAAGCAAATTCAATATGGATATTATTGTATATACAGATACCTCTGAGTTTCATGACAGCAGTCCCGTAGAACCGACAACCCTACTCAAAGCTGGAGATAAATTTGATTTTTTTGAAGATTTTACGATGCCGGTCTTACCTGAAAATTACCTGATTCAGGTTTCGTTAAATTCTCTCGACACGACTCTGGCCTGTTCAAACAGGACTGTAAGTATAATTAAAAAAGGCGAGGGGTTGATTACAAACGTAATTATGAGGAAAGGCTAAAACTCGGATACTCTATATTTCCTTCATTGGTTCAGTTTCCATAGGAAATGTATTTGTTACAGAACAAACGACGACGGCTACAGGGTGTGAATTATGGGGCAACCAATAGAAACTCAGAAATTGTTAGAATAGTAATTGGTATTTCTTATTAATATTTTGGTTTTATCATAGTTTAAAAAAAATCGTATTAAGCTTGTTTTCCTGACACCAATGTTTTTACGATAAGATTATATATTTCTCTTCGGAGAAGACATGTACAGTTTCTAAGCTAGTAATTGCTGTGCAAGACTAGTAAAGCTTTTTTTTTTGGCCTACACGGGTAGAATTGAACTTTGATATGTGTATTCTGGTCATGAATAATAGGCCGGCAACTCCCGGTTCTAAAAATGAAACATTTCGGTTGAAAATTATACTAATTAAACAAGTACCCAAAACCATTTAATATTTTGGTGACATTTTCAATTAACAAGCGCTTACGTCATTTAAATATTTGTAACATACTAATACGGAAACCGTCGAAATTACCGTATGTCAAAATATGCACATTCTAGTCATTCACAATTTGTCATGTTTGATAGTCGCATTGTTCGTACAGAAACGTGCTATTTTATTCATGCATACATTTTTATAGCATTCATTCAAACCGTACGGAAAAACGCCTTAGAAAATGGATGACCATATCACCTGCGCACAATGTTAAGAATCGTAACATCTCATACGGATATATCTGAAAGTTATACATGGAAGTTTATATTTGACAAGTATCATGTCAACATCGGGAACGTGTTAAAGTCATCGGAAAGATTACTGATGTGAGATTTGATTTAAATTGTTGTCCAATTTTGCATTTTTCAAATAATAACTGTAACGAGTTGTTTGAACGATGCCATATTAATATTCAAAGTGAATATCACAGTATGATTGAATTGTGTTATTTAACTAGAGTAGCAGAAAACCTGCTGCGCAATGCAAACATGAACAAATTTTTTATGCTTCAAGATAGAATTGGGGCTGTCTAAAGCGGAGTAGATTTTCACAATCTAATGAAACCGGAAAACTGGATTATGTTCTGTTCGCTTTAGCCTCTTCCTACTATAGAAATTTTTAGTCAGCGTGTGGCTAAGGATATTCAATATGGAGTACAAACTATTCGATTAATTAGTGGGACTAGTATATAATCAGAAAGAAGTCACATTGGCAAAATGTTAACATTATGTTAGGATATTTTCGAACAACAACGCAAATAGTAAGAAGCATATAATTAAAGCTACGTACATATTAAAGCAATTATCAGACGATGCTTTATTAGAGTGATATACGTTAGGAACCTACAGTATAGTATGGTAAAATATATTGATTATTGAGAAAAAAGAAAAGAAGCAAAGCCAATAAAAACACAAATGTATTGAGTTTGGAAGGAAAATTATATGCACTGACAAATGTTTCCCCAATAATAATTAGACAAGTATTTTCCGCGAATTAAGCTAAATCTCGCAGAGTTGTTTGCCTGGATCTGGATGTATTGCGATTATTGCTTGGCGATAGGTTTTCAATTGCTTCGACGTGGATGTTATTTCCCCAAGGATTACTTCTCGTTGAAACTGTAAATGATTCGAATGTGGTGGAATCAATGAGATGTAGTTTCATTGTTGGTAGAAATTTTTGTAATATGTTTCGGACGATAGTAGCACGGCGGGATTGTGAGGGAACGACTGTATTATTCTGGTCTGTTATCGGTAAAGTGTTTTCGGGTATAGTAAATCATATTGTTGTACACTCTTCGCCCTCAGCTTTAATACGAGCGCCGAAATTGTATGATTCAGAAGACGTGTGTTTGAATCCTTGAGGCATCTTATTGTGTTAATCAAGTGCAAACAATTTGTTGGACTATTATTTTTGGTAATGTCTTGAATCGATATTGTGGAAGCGGTTTGTACGGTTTTCAGAATAGCTGACGTACAGTATACGACCGAGATTGTTTTGAACGATTGACATTGTATGTGTGGTAGAATAATTAAAAGCTTAATTTAGTGTTCAATGCTAAATGAACATTTTCTTTTGTTACGGGCTTAGTAGGCTCGCAAACAAATTGTTAGACCACTTTGGGCAAGTGCCTTTAATTTGGAAGTAGTAGTCTGTACAATTTTCGAACAGTTGGCATATCGATTGCAATGACAAGTCGGTAGTTTGCTTGTTGCACTAGGATATAAACGATGTTTTCTATTGACTTAGAGGAATAAAGCGTATGTTGACAATTCTTCCTATGCAACACAGGCAGCTTTTTCTGGATATATAAGTTGGCTATAATACACGTACACGCAAGGAAGTTAAGGAAATTGATTGCAGTAGTTATCGCATAATTGAAGAGGCCTTTTTTGAAGGCGGCGAGAAGGTTTCCATGCAGAAATGGACAATTACCGGATATTGTGTGGGAGGTGTCAAAGCGACAAAATTCAGAAATTAATTTTGTATGTGCGGGTGATAACGTTTGTTGAAAAGCGTCAGGTATTTAAATCAGATAAATTGTTATAGTCGGTAAGGAAGAAGATATCTAGTATATTGCGAGAAATAAATTTTTTAATAAAAAATGTGGACACTCGTATTTATAAATGGCAGATAATATAAATTGGCACTATTACGTGTGTAATAAGATGCAGGAAACAAATTTGGGTAAGAAACATGTTCGAGTTAATGATATGCAGTGCTGACTTCAATTATCGTACAAATTAATCGTTTTTCTTTTGATATCTTGATATCGAATCGTTTGTGTGGCTGTATAAGATTATCCACAATCGATCTACCAAATATAATAAGTTAGATAATTTTATTTAAATAAGAAAGCCATACATACTAATACCCTTTTTTAGACAACAAATTGACAGTCGTATTTTTTGCATCCATAAACAATGCAAACAAATTGTTATATAAACAACCTTTATCCGTAAGCTTACGCATAAGCCTAAGCATAAGCATAAGTTATAAGTAATAAGTAATAATTAATAAGTAATAAATGATAAGTAATAAGTAATAAATAATAAGTAATAAGTAATATAAGGTAGAGGGGGGTAATTTGGCGAAGTTAAAGTTCTTACTAAGTGAAATTTTTATTAAACCGTTTATAACTTTTGATATTCAGAGGTAATAAACTAGAACATATTTATAATAGATGCATACAAATAGAAAAGGAATTGTAAAATAGAATTGGTGCAAAAATCACCGGTTTGTAAATGGTCTTTAAAATTAAGATTTTAGGGTACTAGGGGTAATTCGGCGAATTCTGATCTATTACCAAAGAAATTTTTTTACATATTATTTTAGCATCCTTTACCCCTCCCGCCCTGATTTTTATTCCTTTTTGCTAATCTTTGTTCTCGTATAACCTTTTTTTGAGCTGCTTGCTTCTTTTTTTTGTTTTATTTCTTCACGGATAATCTCATGTCGCTTAATATAAACAGCTTCCATGATAGTGACAAGTTATTATGTTTTAATGTCAAATCACAAAATAAAACAGATGCGCGACAAGCAATGCAGCACCATAGTAAATTTATTTTGCGTCTATTTTGTCGCGCGGAGGACATACCAAATCGAGCTAGCGTTTGTACAATGTACGTAGATATAGTAAAAATGTCGTAGATTAAACGAATAAAAACACATAATGCACGTAATGTACATGCAATTATACATGTAACATAATTAAAAAATGCCTTTATTTTAATAAAGTATGATTGTGATGACTATAAATCTTTTTGATTTTGAACCTAATCGATTCCATTATAATAATTTTGTAATTCGCCAAATTACCCCCCTCTAAAGGCCGTTTTGGCAGCGATCATTGCTAAATGTAAACTAAATATAAATAAATGGTAAGATCTACACCGCACAAGCGGATACAATTGGTGGATGTCGAATCATGAGATAAATAATTTGGGGGTGGATCTTTAAATTATGCTAATAATGTAGATCCACGGTCACGACTGCCTACACAGCCATCACAAACTATTTATATCGCAACATAGTTGCCCTAATTTGTGGACATAGTTTGTGATAGAACGTTGTGCCAGTAATCAGCTACGCGAGAAGAGGTATTATGAACCGAGTAAATTTATGAACAATCTCATGGATTGCATATTCAATTATACCATATGCACTCATATTACCACAAAAGACATTAGAAGACGTAGAAACAAGTAAAAGAATACTCTTGTCGAATGACATAGTAATCGATAAATTTCGTGTTGAAATGGGAAAGTAATATGTGGTATATTGAATGTATATATGAACGTTGTGTTGCGTGTAATGACATGATGCGAACGGACGCTGGAACGTTTCACTGATTATTTTTCTTGCTCAAATACAAAACTAATTTCTGTATGCTTAGCGTTGTCATATCTTGCAATATCCAAAATTCTCTGCCTATTAGTCAAATTTAGACGTTGAAACAACAATCTTTTGGTTTACATAGTAACACTTTTATTTCTTAATGTCACCGTGACATGAGTTAAAATACAAATGGATGAAATAAATTTTATTCAATTAGAACGGAAATGTCGATTCTACATAAACGAACATTATTATGCTGTAACAGATTAGTAACAGACAAAGCAAGGATAGACATTTAGATGTTGACGGAGAATTTTTTATCCGATATATATCTCTTTACCAGTTCCCTTATTATTGTTAACACTCAATCCCTGTCAATATTTCTAGGCAGTCCATTCCCATGCTCGTCGGATCCCATCGCTCAACATTTACATGTTTAGCTGCAGATCTCCGAATGAAAGGATTATCAAACATTTGTTTTGGTGTTGACCGTTTCTCCCCCATCCCTTTCCATCCTGTCATAAAGTAAATAAAGTCAGATGCCAGATTGTAAACGCGATGCCATTAAGAGTTTCTCGATGTCGTACCAAACTCGAAAAAAGCCTCCATCAAGGTCTGCGGTGAGATCTCTGGGAATAGTTGTCGCGTGAACGCCGAGGCAAACCGCCAGAGAGTTCCCCACATCCGATTAAACCGTATTTACGGTAACGGGTCGGAATACATTAGATAGTCTTTAGATTAGCAAACCATTCTAATACAACAATTTTTGTATCTCTTTTCCCCATCTTTTTTTCAATCCTCTGGTATTATGATTGGCATTAGCGATTACATTGAGTAGAATGTATACAAAGTAATGAAACATAACAGCTTCGCTTGTCACATTATTATCCTTATTCCAAGCGATGTATATTAATAACGGAGAAGCAGGTTTGTGTGCGTTGTGCAGTCGTGTGCCGTCATGGTTTTCCTAATTTTTGCTTTGTTTTGAACCATCTGATACTCTTATTCCAGTATACAGCAATTCCTGTCTACGGTCGTTACATGAGTTTTTGCGCCTATGAGAGCTGGAATGTTCGTATGCTTCGTCGGTTGTGTGGTCGATAAACCGTGTTTTCTGTTATTATTTGACGTCTTGTTCGCACTTTGTGTTCGCTTTGGAGGAGAGGTTGTGAAGTGATACGAGTACAATATATTATGAGAATTCTTTCATTGGCTAATGGTCGATAAACCGTGTCGTTGTTGAGAGTTAAGAGTTCATCGTTTAATGGCTTGTTAATGTTGATATGAGGGTGATGACAGAGAATTGTTTGTCGTATGATGACTTGTTCGCGTCGTCGTATGTGCGGTAATATGGGGATTGTTGCTTTAAAGTTGTGAGGCAACGCAGTGGTTCCCACTACAAATACGCAGTTTGGTATTGTGTTATTCTGTTTAGACATTACACTTCATACTAATATCCCCAATGTTGGTGTGCACCCACACTGACACGCGGTCAGTTGTAGCGACACTCCGTGGCAAAAATCGACGATCGTGTTGCGCCTTTACCATGATCGGCATAATAATAGCCATGGTTGTAACCTGAATTATTACGGGAGAATGGCGGCAAATTACGGAATAAGATGCGGGAAAAGGAGCGGCGATTACATCTCTGCAGAAAATTCTCACACAGTCGCTAATTGACCATGTGCTACCTTTTCGCGTCGAGAAAATTTTTATTCTATACACAGCCTATTGAGGAAACAATGGCGTTTTTGTTTAACCTTCTCTAGTATGGAAAACCTTCACTTGCATAATATGGTCACACCAATTTATTTTATTATTCATTCATTGTAAAAAAAGTAGCAGCATATTTGCTCGGACATGTCGGTGCGTTATAAAATCGCATTTGTAAGATTTATTTTTAATAGACTTTGCCGGAAATATAAGAAAGAATAGCTTTATTATTATTGGCTTATTCGTATATTGATCATAACTTTTCTTTTATCGAATGTAATTTTCTTATGTCAGGCATTTCATATATTGCGATATACAGTATTTTATAATGTTCGGTTATAGGAAAAAACTTTTTATACACAATATCGAAATGTACTATTATAACGAACAAAATTATGTAAACTGGTTCGAATCGGAAAAAATTTTCTCTTAGAAAACCGCATACAAATAAAAAAGCCCCCCGAACCGTTATCTCTTTGTCGCGGACATTTTCTTTCTTCTCTATTTACAAAAAAAAGTCAATTATCGCTGGATACCTCTTGGAAAAACTATCAACTAGTATTTGAGGTATAAAATGAACCGTCGCTACCAGTCGACCGTCAGTTGGAATTCAATAAGTAAAAAAAAAACAAAAGCAAAAAAAAAAAACATTATTACTACGAACGCTACAGCCGTTATATGATCAAAAATGTCGATTCCAGTAACAGCAAAACAACGTAAAGTACAAATTCGACATCCAGCGCTGGCTGCAGAAGAAATAACAACGTTTTATTCCAACCATCCTCACGTCAGTCTGATGCGACGGATGAAGTCTTTTAAAGAACCGACTTCCGTTATACTTCCCGAATTCGACCGAGTCCTCTCCAAAATCAAACCAGAGATATGGCAGTATCGATCTCCTGACTCTCCAGAATGGGTCGAATTGGTTGATCTGAAGATTAGGATTATCGAATTAAAAGACAAGTACGTGAAAGACATGGGTTGAGGGTCACACGCCAACAAAGGTTACTGCAGAGGAAACAAAAAGAAGGAGATGGGGATTCTTTAAGAAAACATTAAAAGTTAAGATTAAATCGGATTGCGGAGACGAGAAAAGAACTTTATTTTGAGTTTTTACAAAGAATATATTTTTAAAATTTGTCCTCGTAAAAACCTTACTTATCAGTCTTGTTTGGTCATGCTTTGCAGACTTCGATTGAAGGATATTTTTAGTCGAAATAGGCGGCCTTCTACTGACAAGAACTCGTTCAATTTGTTTTACATTCTAAACAAAAACTGATAATCTTTAATGCGAATAATAAAATTTTTATTATCAATTAGTATTTGTATTATATCTAAGAAGAAATTTAGAGTTCTAAACCGACTAATTTATAATTTTTGTTACGGTGGAGAGCCTCTGAATTAATTAACTATCCTTGTGTAAATAAAAAGTAAAATAAATATTCTTGGTTACCGAAGCAATGAACAAAATATAGAAAACCAGTCGAAATGTTCTGACTAGTTGAGTAAACCTTATTTATATTTGTCTTATTAAACAGTAATAATTTTTCAATATGCTCTCGTTCTGCTATACACTAATGATCAAAGTATATTTTTACAGCTAGAGTGAGCCGTTTATAGGTACACGACTGTATATCCGGTTAATGATGAAAGAAGGAAGAATTTGATTTTAATAGAAAATTGTTATTCAATTTCCGTTGACATAAAGACTTATCCAATGATTATTATCGTTAACAGTTCAAACTAAGTTATGCGATGGGATGATCTACTTATATCTTTTATGACGCGGGCAGAAACGGTACATGTCTGAATTAAATAGGCATTGTGTCTCAAGAATGAATAAATAATAGTGTATTCGGAAACAAACAGGTCTGGGTACGAAAACAATTTCGGGAAGTACACATTATCCAGCTGATAATAGAACGCTTTGAAGCGAGCTCGAATGTTGCTATGTTTTATTCAGGAACGATTAGCATAAAACTCATTGCCAATTTTACACATTGTCTCAAGATTTATTTTTTTTTCACATAAGCAAACAATCTACCCAGCAAGGCAGCTAACAGTAAACGTGCGCAATTTGATTTTAAGTCAACCATATTGAAATATGTGAAAGCACATCATATAACTCATAATCCCGTTGAAGTACAAGTTTATTCGAAAAGAGATTGAGTCACTAAATTATGATCAGCGGATAATATTAATATGAATATGGTAAATTGACTTTATTTGTACCAATGCGTAACATACCTGCAGCTGAATCCAAATCATAGCTATTTCTCGGT